GTGGTGCTGTGGCTCAAGTGGTAGAGCGCTAGCCTTGAGCTGAAGAGCTGAGGGACAGCGCCCAGGCCCAGAGTTCAGGCCTCATGACCGGACCCAAAAAAAAAAAAAAATCACCAAGTTTGGGGCTGGGAAGGTGGCTCGGGGGTAGGGTGCTTGCCTTGCATGCATGAGGCCCTGGGTTCGATTCCTCAGCACTACATACACAGAAAAAGATGGAAGTGGGTGCTATGGTTCAAGTGGTAGAGTAATAGCCTTGAGCTGAAGAGCTCAGGACAGTGCCCAGGCCCAGAGTTCAAGCTCCACGACCAGCAAAGAAAAAAAAAAAAAAAATCACCAAGTTTGGGGCTGGGAAGGTGGCTCAGTGGTAGAGAGCTTGCCTTGCATGCATGAGGCTCTGGGTTCGATTCCTCAGCACCACATAAGCAGAAAGGAAAAAGCTGGAAGTGGCACTGTGGCTCAAGTGGTAGAGTGCTAGCCTTGAGTTGAAAAGCTGAGGGACAGGGCTCAGGCCCGGAGTTCAGGCCCCACCGGACCCCCTCCCCCCCAAAAAAAATCACCAAGTTTGAAAAAATAAATACCTTTAAAAATTTAACCAGGCACCAGTAGCTCATGGCTGTAATCCTAGCTACTCAGCAGCCTGAGATCTGAGGGTTGCAGTTCAAAGCCAGCCTGGGCAGGAAAGTCCATGAGACTCTCCAATAAACCACCAGAGAACTGGAAGTTGCACTGTAGCTCAAGTAGAAGAGCGCTAGCCTTAACTGAAAAGCTGAGGGATGCGCCCAGGCCCAGAGTTCAAGTCCCACGATCTATATCTATATATCTATCTTTTTTTTTTTTTTGGTTGGTCATGGGACCTGAACTTTGGGCCTGGGCTCTGTCCCTCAGCTCTTCAGCTCAAGGCTAGTGCTCTACCACTTGGGCCACAGTGCACTTCCGGCTTTTTCTGCTTATGTGGTGCTGAGGAATTGAACCCAGGGCCTCCTGCATGCAAGGCAAGCACTTCCCAGTCCTCTCTCCCCTCTCCTCCTCTCTCTCTTTCTGTCTCTCTCTCTCTATATATATATATATATTTTTTAAATACTCCTCTTAGGAAAGGAGGAACACAAAGGCACAATGCCTAAGTGTCTCTGATCATATAAAATAACTGAAATAAACTCCAGGAAATGGAAACAATTTAAGCAATAGGAGATTATAGTTCCAGTATTAGAGCATATGCTTAAGCATGCATGAGGCTTTATATTCAATCTCCAGCATTAAAATAATAAAAAGTAAAAATGTAAGTAACCTGCCAGGCACTGGTGGCTCACATCTATCCTAACTACTCAGGAGGTTGATCTAAAAATTGTGACTCAAAGCCAGCTCAGACATATCCAAAAGACTTATTTCCAATTAACCAGCAAAAAGCCTGAAGTAGAAGTATGGCTCAAGTCACAGACAAGAGTGGTAAAAGCTTAGCGAGTACACAAAGCCCTGTGTTCAAGGTATAGTACCAGCAAAAGAAGGAAGAAAAAAAAAAAGGTGTATCCAGGTGCTAGTGGCTCACTCTTGTAATTCTAGCTATTCAGGAGGCTGAGATCTGAGGACTGTTGTTCAAAGTTATCCAGGGCAGTAAAGTCCTAAGACTTTTTTTTTTTTCAGGTCATGAGGATTGAACTCTGAGCCTGGGTGCTGTCCCTCAGCTCTTCAGCTCAAGTCTCGTATTCTACCACTTGAGCCACAGAACTCTGGGCCTGGGTGCTGTCCCTCAGCTCTTCAGCTCAAGTCTAGTACTCTACCACTTGAGCCACAGAACTCTGGGCCTGGGTGCTGTCCCTCAGCTCTTCAGCTCAAGTCTAGTACTCTACCACTTGAGCCACAGTGCCCACTTCCAGCTTTTTCTGCTTATGTGGTGCTGAGGAATCGAACCCAGGGCCTCATGCATGCAAGGCAAGCACTCTACCACTGAGCCACCTTCCCA